CCCCAGAATCCTTGCCTCCAAGGAGCAGCCTGATTTAACCCTCTCTAGGATGAATCTGTTTGTTTTCTTGGCAGTTCATGGTACATTCAATACTCTTCTCCAGCACCACAGCTCTGGTGGCCTAGTGGCAAGAAGCTGCACTGCAGTCCCAGAGGAGAGCAATTTGAATCCACCAGATGCTCTGCTGGAGAAGGAGGGACAATCTCTACCTGTACTAGTCAGATCCGATTTGACGCCCACTGACTACCAAACGAATACACAGATGTCTTGGAAAAGGTGCAGCAGGGGGCTCCTTGGAGGCAAAGATAGTGAAACTTAATCTCAGATACATTGGGAATGTTGTTTGGAGAGGCTGGTGCTTGGAAAGGGACATGCTTGGAAAGGTGGCGCATCAGCAAAGGAGGGGAAGACCCTCAACGAGATGGATTGACACAGTGACTATGAAAGTGGGGCTCCAGGGTGTCAGAGACGATGAGGATGGTCCAGGGTAGGGCAGGGTTCAGATCCATTGTTCTATGAGTTGTAGTTGACTTGAGGGCTCTGAACAACTTCTGACTCAGCAACAAAATAGCATTGCCCCACAGGGTTCGTATCCAAGGCTAGAAATCTTTCCAGGAGCGCTGGTAACATTGTCCACAGGCTGTTACACTGCTAACCCTAGGGCTGTGCCTCTTTAGGGGTTTGAATCCACCAGCTGCTCCATCAGGAAAAAGATGGCCTCTGTGATTTACAGCCTTGGTACCCAGTGGAGGGTCGGGTAGGACGGGCCAAGGTGCATCCGTTTTGAGTGGAAATCAAGAAGACAGGCAGGCAGATTTTTAGCAGCCAAGGGGACAATTCACTGCGCCACCCCAGCACCTCTATCACAGCATGCCGGAAACGGCTGGCACGCCTTACAGGAGCAGGCAGTCAGCAGCTCTTGGGAATTTCTGGATTCCAGAACCTGAAGTTACTGAGATTCTGGGTACAGCTCAGGTCAGCCTCCCAAGCTCTGCTGCACCTTCAGAGATGAGAATGGGCAGGTCAAGGTTCAGGTCTGTTCACAGGGTACTAAGAGCTACAGTCTACTCAGGACCATTTGAAGCCAGTTGGAAGAGGTGACCCTCTGCCGACTCACCAAAAGCTGCCTCCAACAAGTCCCACCAAAGGCTGCACAAGGTTGCTTGTGTCAGGGTCAGCTAGACAGAGATGCCACTATCACTGCACGGTGATCAAAAAGAAGACAGGGCTGCTCTGTCCAGGATGGCAAACCCATCGACAGTTCCACCCATTATGATCTGGCTGACGAGCCTTCAACCCACTGGGATGCTAAAGAGAAGTGACACTGCCATGCTGAGAAGTGGTGTGGTGAGGTGCAAGGGGCCAGTGGTCACTGTCTGAAAGCCCTTACTGGTGCAGACCAAACTGCAGGCGCTGGCGGGGACGAAGAACCCTCAGGACATGGGGGCTAGGCAGTTTATGGAAAAGTCAGAGATTCAAACCCAGCAGCTGCTTGCCAGGAGAGGGGGGGGGGGGGAAACGCCAGTCCATCTGGGTGCAAGGATTGCCTTTTTTCCTCCTCAGGATTGACTGGTGGATTTGAACCACTGACCTATTGGTTAGAAGCACAATGTAGTTATGCACTAAGGGCTTCCTTCCTTACAGATGGCCTTTGAAACCCTATGGGGCAATTCTCTGACCTGTAAGGCTCAGTGACTCATCATGAACTCATGGCACCCAGCCACAATAATAGTTTATCACGTGCCTTATACTATTTATTTCTTATCAAAGAAATGACCGAATTGAATAAGTGCCTTCCACAATCACCAGGTGGAAGGAATAGGATTATTTTTGCTATTAACTGGATGAGCGCCTAGCTTCCTCTCAGGCCTAAAAAACTCAATTGCTCTGCCGGGGAAGGAGGGACAATCTCCTCCTGTACCAGTCAGATCTGATTTGACGGTACACGCACACAAAAATAATAAAATAAAAAAATTTAAAAAAAAAAAAACCAACTCAATTGCATCGCCATCAAGTTGATTCCGACTCTCCAGGACCCAATAGAACAAGGCACAATTGTCCCATCGGTTTCCAGGGCTGTGAATCTCAAAAGGCGCAGACTACCATACCTGTTCCCTGAAAAATTAGTAGTTCAGAAGGCCAACCTTTTGGTTAAAAGCCCAACACTTAACTCACTGTGCCACCAGGGTGCCTTCTCAGGACTTACGGGGCCCACGGCTCTGAAGTTTCAGATTCCCTGATTGTTGGAGAAATCACCACTGAGGGACCTCTCTCCATTAGGTATCTACGTGGGTTCGAATCCCACGCCTGCCTGCGTCTACCTGCGTGTCTTGGGGCAGAGCCGCGCAGTTTCTCCCTCTAGGTAATGGATATACGTACCAACCTCCCCTCCCAAGTCGATGAACACACACCCCCTTCTTGTCCCCAGGAGATGCGCTCACTGCTGCGGAAAGTGGGGTCCCCACGCAAGGCCCGTCGCGCGCGCCTCAACCCGCTGGTGCTGCTGCTGGACGCGGCGCTGACCGGGGAGCTGGACGTGGTGCAGCAGGCGGTGAAGGAGGTGGGTGCCCCTCACCCTGCGGGCTGGATGTGGTTAGGGGATCAGCGTGAGGGTGGCCAAGGGACTGACCGACAGGGCTGCCTCGCGCAGATGAATGACCCGAGCCAGCCCAACGAGGAGGGCATCACGGCCCTGCACAACGCCATCTGCGGCGCCAACTACCCCATTGTGGACTTCCTCATCGCTGCGGGCGCCAACGTCAACTCGCCTGACAGCCATGGCTGGTGAGCCGGGACTGGGCGGGGCGAACGGGCCTGGCCGGCGCTGGGGGCGTGGCCGGAGGACGCTGGGGCCTGATTGCGATGGGCGGGGCCCTGCGGCCTTGCATGCACCGCCTCCCTTCTCACGCTGGCCCCTCCGCGCCCAGGACGCCGTTGCACTGCGCGGCCTCGTGCAACGACACAGCCATCTGCACGGCGCTGGTGCAGCACGGCGCGGCGATCTTCGCCACCACGCTCAGTGACGGCGCCACGGCCATTGAGAAGTGCGACCCCTACCGCGAGGGCTACGCCGACTGCGCCACCTACCTGGCAGGTAGGAGCCCAGCCCCGCGTCTCCACCACCCGCGCGGACGCGCGACAAGTCCTGGGGGCTGGGGGCTTCGATCTTGTCACTTGTGGGGTCTATGTTGTCTTTTTGACAGGACAGTAGAAAAGAGGGCGTCCACCTGGCCAGGGTCAAGCGGGGCGCGAGGGGTTAGCAAACTTATTTTGGGATAAAATGTTCATGTGGTTGTGCCATGGGATTTGGAGAATAATGCACCTGCTCTCTCACCTGGGGGGAGGGGCTGTTAGCTACTGTCAGATCCACCTGACAGAGGACTCAGCAGGTGGGCTCGATCACCTGTGGGGTCACCACATTGCAGAGAAGGTTGTGTTACTTAGGGAGCATGGGGGGCACTTGCAGGGCCAACCAGCATGTGTACCATGTGTTCTCCAGGGACAAGCCATATCACCTGGGGAGGTGGGGACATGGGTCCCATGCCCCCTGGGTCTCTAATGAGAACAGCAAGGCAGGCAGGATGTCAGGATGTGCAGAAAGTCTGTACTGCAAACCTAGAGAGGCATGCTGGACCCTCAGCGGGGGGAAAGGGGCATCAGAAGTGGGAAGAAATGAGGGGTGTAGGATCTTCAGGACTTAGACATTTGAGAATGTCGACAGAGCTGTAACACCTGAGAGATATGTGAGCTGGAGCCCCCTTGAGCGTTGGGGTAGAACATAGATAACCTCCCCACAGGGGGAAGTTTGCAGCCTTTAGAGGTAGGAGACTAGCTAGAACTCCCCAGAACTCCTTTGTCAAAGGTTGGTGGGTCTATGAGATTTGACCTCAGGAGAGTCACTGAGTCGGAATCTCCATGACAACAAGTTGTCTGCTTTGCACATAGTGGGTGAAGTAAAGACTGGACCATACACCGGGCTGGATAAGCTGGAGAAAGAACACATGGGCTGAACCACTTAAGAGGAAGGAGTGGTCTGGTGAACGAAAGCATCTCTTAGTAGCCCATATCCTTATGGGAGACTGTTCCACTTAAGTGGGAGATTAGAGTGTGTTGGTGAAGGAATATCCTCTTTGGAAGGAGGGCTGATGGGACTCCAGAGCAGCGGAGGAAAGCAGGCTGGACTGTACCATCTTAAGGAGGGGTTTTGAAGCCTCCGTGGGGACTGTACCATTTCAGCCGGGAAGTAGGGAGCTGAGCTTGTGGAAACAACACAGGAATTTAACAACGTATAATGAGGAATGAGGGGGACCATTGGCCCTACCTGAAGGGCTAGAAGTGCAGCTGGATACAACCCAAGGTTTTTGCATTCTAGAAACTTCCAGTCTGACACTCGCTCTGTCTCTGCAGACATGGCACTCACACCTGAGGTGGTGCCTGGGCCTTGGGCAGGTCCTAGACCAGGGCCTTGTCCCTGTCCCCAGCGCCCTGGGGTGGGGTACGTCCTGACTCACAAACCCGATCTGACATCTTTCAGACGTGGAGCAGAGCATGGGGCTGATGCACAATGGGCTGGTGTACGCGCTTTGGGACTACAGCGCTGAGTTCGGGGACGAGCTGTCCTTCCGCGAGGGCGATTCGGTCACCGTGCTGCGGAGGGACGGGCCGGAGGAGACCGACTGGTGGTGGGCCTCGCTGCATGGCCAGGAGGGCTATGTGCCCCGTAACTACTTTGGGGTAAGCCGAGAGGAGATAGGAGGGCTCCAGGGGGAGCCATCAGAGAAAGGGGATGATCCTACAGGAAAAAATGAGGCGGGAGGGAAAGAGATAAAGAGATTCAGAAGAGTTCATTATTGCTCATGGGGAGGTGAGGGGAAAGCTCATTATAGTAAGACTGGGATCCCATTGCAGCTAGGAGGAGGCAGTGAAGGGGGGCCCTTACCAGATAGGCATATGTTTGGGGTGGGTGGAGGTGTCTGCGTGTATAACCAACACTCCCACTGCCCTTGAATGGATTCCAGCTCATGGCCACTCTCCATTCTGGTTTCCTCATCGTTACAAGAAAAGACTGCCTGTCTTTCTCCCCTAGGCCAGCTGGTGGATTCGAACCACTGACTTCCCCGTTAGCAGCACTACACTTTATGCCAGACACCACCAAAACTCCTTCATTACTGACAGTACTCGTTGGTTATTTGGTTGATTAGTGCCCAAATATTTTTCTTATTATCCCTGATGACAAGGTTAAAGAAGAATCCACTTTAAAGGGAGCTCTGGTGGCCTAGTGGCAAGAAGCTGCACTGTAATACCCGAGTTGCGCAGTTCGAATCCACCAGATGCTCTGCTGGAGAAGGAGGGACAATTTCCTCCTTTACTAGTCAGATCTGATTTGACGGTACATGCACAAAATAATAATAATAATAATAATAATAAAGAATCCACTTTAGCCGCTGGGAATTATGAAGAAGAGTCCCTAGACCAAAGTCTACTGTTGCCCAGTCGATTCTAACTCATAAGAACCTCCCTTTAGATTTCCAAGGCCCAAGGCTGTTAATCTTTTGGGGAGGAAACTGCCCATCTTTTTCCTACAAAACAAGTGGTGGATTTGAACTGGCAACCCTCTGGTTAGCAGCTCAGTGCATTAAGCCTTAAACTATCAGGGATCTTTATTTTAGTGACAGAGACAGTGAAAGAATTGTGAATTACAGGCATGGAGAACTCAAATGGTCTCACTTTGAGCTCTCTCTCTCTCGTTACTGTCCAGAAGTTGAAAACAACTCATAAGTGACCCTCCAGTGAGTTTTCAGAGGCTGTAACTCACATGGGAGGAGATTGCTCATCTTAGTCCCCCACAAGAAGCTGGTGGATTTGAATCACCCGCCTTTGGATTGGCAGCACAACACCTTACCTACTAAGCCACGAGAGCCTTTGGTCAAAATGTGGGGGAAAAAGTCCATTATTTAGTTATGACAGAACTGAAGGAGATTCTACTAGGGCTGAGGAGAGGGGACCAGGAAGATTCTGTTTATGGGAGGAGAAGTTATGTTAATTTGGGGGTAGGTGGAAAGGGGACCCAAACCCATCACGGTGGTGGGCAGGAAGAGGTAGCATGGCTTTTATGGCCCTGGGACAGCTGGGGCTATTCCACTTCATCAGTGGGGCCGACAGTTGAAAGGTTGTACCTGGAGGTGTCAGTAATTAGGGGTTCCCAAGTGGTTTGGGTGTTGCTAAAGAGTCAGTCAGGAAGAGGTGTGAAGTTGGAGACAGTCCATGTATTTGTGAATGTGAAGATAGAGACGGATTTGGGCATTCCACTTAAATGAGAGGATTTTGTTTTTAATTTTATTATTTGTTGTGTGTGTACCATCAAATTGGATCTGGCTGGTACAAGAAGAGATTGCCCCTCCTTCTCCAGCAGAGCATCTGGTGGATTCGAACCACATGCGTCTGAGATTGCAGTGCAGCTTCTTGCCACTAGGCCACCAGCGCTCTCTTAAATTAGAGGATTTTATCAACGTTAAGGGAGCGCTGGTGGTCTAGTGGTAAGGAACTGTCCTGCCAACTCCAAACACACAGAATCCACTAGCTGCTCCACAGGCGAAAGATGGCCAGTCTCCTCCCGTACAATTGACAACAACATTAAAGTTACATGTTAGGGTGGTAGAGGTTGTGGTTTAAATCCACCAACAGCTCTGAGGGGAAAAGATGAGCTAGTGTTCTCCTGTTAAGATGTACAGCTTTGGAAACCCAGGGAGGGTCACCGTGAGCTCAGATCCACTTGATGGAGGTGGGGATTTTTTCTTAAAAGTGCGTTGTGTTGAGGCGTGGGGGCTCCTGGTGTATGCATGTCTGAAGTTCTCGTCTTTCTCTGCAGCTCTTCCCCAGAGTGAAGTCCCAGAGGAATAAGGTCTAGCAGGAGACAAGGACATTTTCAGAAGGAAGCCGCTCTGCCTTGGCGCCTGACCTCGGGCTCCATTACTACTGAGTCTCTGCTCCCCGCGAGCCCAGTCTGGGGTACAGTCCCCGCTGCCAGTTCTCTGCCTTCCTGGAAGCCCAGGAGAGATCTAAGAGAAGTTGGCCTTAAGTTTAGGAAGCTGCCTTAGCTGCGAGAGGTGGAAGTGGTGGTGGCGCTAGGAATCATTCAGGGGGAGCAGGACACCCCCATTTGCCAAGGCAGGTCCCGTCCAAGTGCCTTGCACTCTTCCTGCCGCCACTCCTCAAAGCAAGCCGCCCCAGAGTCCCAGCTGAGCCTAGAGAGGGGGGCCCTAGCATGTCACTTCCCTGGGAGTCACTCTGACCCCGTCTTTTCCCAGCACCTTGGGAACCAGGTGAAGCCACGGCCTCCCTGGGATCCCTGCCTTCCTCCTTCACACATTAAAAAGTGCCTTCATACAGCTCTGGTTTTATGTTTATAGCAACATGGGGACATTACTCTTTATAAATAAAGGTAGTTTGCACAGAAATTGCCTGCCTTCTCTTTTGACTTGGGCCACAATCCGTAAATGCTCATCATTACTCTTGTTTTCTTTGGCACACTGGTCTGTGTGTACTGCTCTCTGAGTTACAGACAGCCCAAGTGTTTCCGGCAAATGAATGGCTCAAGAAACTGATACATTCATTCAATGGATTCTTACACATCACTGAAAATCTACCAAGTGTTTGTGAACTACTGCACAACATGGGAGATTATAGAACAAATTATGCTACATGACGTATGTCAGTCACACAAGAATAATTGTAGTATAACACCACTAATAGAAAAAAGCTAAGGAAAGGTTTCCACGCTGATCAGTCTCAGAGGATTAACCAAGGATGGGAAAGGAGTAAAAATTCATACATAGGTAGGTTGGATGACAGGAAAGCCAATCTACAATAAAAGATTGACTCTGAAATCCCATTGCTGTCAAGTCAGGACCGAGTCATGATCCTGCAGTGAGTTTTGTGTTTTTTTGTTTGTTTTTTTTTAAATTTAATTTTATTTTATTATTTTTGTGTGAGTGTACCATCAAATCAGATCTGACTGGTACGGGAGGAGATTGTCCCGCCTTCCCCAGCAAAGCATCTGGTGGATTTGAACCGTGCACCTCTGGGATTGTAGTTGCAGCTCCTTGCCACTAGGCCACCAGAGCTCCCCCTGCAGTGAGTTTTGAGAGGCTGTAAATCGCATGGGAGGAGAATCCCATTTGTTCCAGTGGAGCCACTTGTGGATTTGAACCTCCAGAGAAGGGTGGCTTTGGGGTTAGAAGCACGACTCCCTGCTTTATCCAACAGAGCTCCCCTAGCGGGTTCTACGAGATACTGCAATTAATTCCATTGTTCTTGGGTCCCTTGAGTTCTCATAGCCTGCCTCCCTATGAACAGCTTGCCCTAGCCTTTGCGGTCCGTATCGTCTCTGATATCTAGAGCCCATGGTGAAGTCGCTGTGTCAATCCATCTCGTTGGGGGTCTTCCTCTCCTTGGTTGACCATCTTTCCAAGCATGATGTCCCTCCCTTTCCAAGGAATAGCCTCCCCTAGCAACTTGCCCAAAGTATGTGACACGAAGCTTTGTCTCCAAGGAGCACTCTGGCTGCACTTTTTCCCAGTCATCTCTGTTCGTTCTTTTGGCGGTCCACGGGATATTCAGTTCTCTTCTCCATCACAGTTCAAAGGTATCAATCAACTCTGTCCTCATTCAATGTCCAGCTCCCTGATGGTAATTACTGTAAAAATGTCTATGATCAAAGGAAAATCCAATATAATTTGTAAACTTTCATTAAATAAAAATGCCCCTTTCTAAGGGAATTCTCTTCCATGAATCCAATCCTTACCCAATATCTGTTCTGTTTTTTTTGTTCCTTCCCCCCCCAGCTGCTTTCTTGATATTTTTTATGCTTTAGATTCTTCCCTACACCCCAATTTTCAGCTTTTTTTTTAACAGTGCATTATTGTGTACTGGGTACTTGCTAAGTGCTTTTCCCCCTTAGGTTCACCTTAATTTTGAGGGTTTTTTTTAAACTTTATTGTGATTTTAATGAAAGTTTACAGCAAAGTTGGATTTTCATTCAGTCATTGTTGCACATTTCCCCATATCCCATCACCTTCTCCCAGTTACTTATTTCCAATTTACTATTTTTTCCCCTTTTATGTGTATGGCACATTTTCTTCCCTCTCTCCCCTCCCCCTCCTTCAGCCCACCCACTCTTGTTCCAGAATGTTGTCATGTCTAATCATGTATTTCCTTCAGATAGTTCTTCCCTCATCTCTCCTACTGCAGTGTTCATTATCTATCCACTCTTTCCTCATTCTCTGCCCACCCAACCACATCTGTCCTGTTTTATAGTAGTGGTGTTATACAGTATTTGTCCTTTTGTGACTGAGATATCTCACTCGGCGTAATGTCCTCCAGGCTCCCTTATGTTGTGTAATGCTTTATGAGTTCATTGTTTGTCAATGCTGCATAATATTCCACTGAGTGAATGTACCATAGTTTTTCTATCGATTCATTTGTTTTTGAACAAATGAGCCTATTTGCTAGGTAGCTGTTGGTGACCTAGTGGCAAGAAGCTGAACAGCAATCCCAAAGGCGCGCAGTTCGAGGCCACCAGCCGCTCTGTGGGAGAACGATGGGCAATCTCCTCCCATGTGATTAACTGCCTCTGAAAACCCGCTGGAGGGTCAGCTATGGGTACAAAGCAACAACACACAACCACCTATTTGCTATTGTGAATAATACAGCAATAATTACAGGTGTGCATACTTCTGAGTTGTGGCTCTTGAGTATATTTCCCAGCAGTGGAATTGCTGGGCCAAATGGCATAGATGGCCTCCATAGTGGCTGTACCATTCCCACCAACTGTGAATAAGGGTTCCAATCTCTCCACAACCTCACCAGCATTTATTGTTTGTTGTCCTGTTGAACTTTGCTATTGTTGCTGGGGTCTAAGCATTTTTTAAGCACAACTATTTTGTATTATACACCTGATAATCCTTTCTAAAATTGAAGCCAACGCTCACTGCTGTAAGAGTGAGTTTCAAATCTTGGTGACCCTCTCAAGGTTTCTGAGACTAAATCTTAATGGGAGTAGACTGGAACCTCACTCTCTCTCTCAAAGGGCTGGTGGGTTCGAACTACTAACTTTCTGGTTAGCAGCCCCACACTTAAAACTGGTAGGCGCTCCTCCCTGAGGTCTGGAGGTATCAAGGATGTGGCTAGGGAGCTCTGGTGGTGGGGTCTGTAGACAGTTGCACTGCTAATCCAGAGACTGGGTTTCTCTGGCAGTTCAAATCCACCTGAAGCTTCTTGGGAGAAAGAAGAAACAATCTCTTTCCATTAAGATTGATAGCCTAGGAGCTCTGGTGTCCTAGTGGCAAGACGCTGCACTGCAATCCCAGAGGTACGCGGTTCAAATCCACCAGATGCTTTGCTGGAGAAGGAGCGGGCAATCTCCTCCTGTACCAGTCAGATCTGATTTGAGGGTACACGTAAAAGCAATATAATAAAAATAAAAAATTTTAAAAAAAGATTGATAGCCTAAGACGAGAGCTCTTGTGGCCTAGTGGCAAGAAGCTGTGTTGTAATCCTGAAGGCACATGGTGTAAATACCACCAGCTGCTCTGTGGGAAAAGGATGGGCAATCTGCCTCTGAAAACCCACTGGAGAGTCACCTATGGGTTGGTTCTGACTCAACAGTAAACAACAACTAAATAAAATCAGGTTTAAATTTTTTTTTCACCACCCAAGCAGATATGCACAGCCATGTTTATTGCTGCTTTGTTCACAATAGCAAAGAGCTAGAAACAACCCAAGTGCCCATCAACAAACGAATGGACAGAGAAGCTCTAGTATATTTACACAGTGGAATACTGTGCCACATTGGAAAAACAAGGAACTCATGAAATATTATGCAAAATGGGTGACCCTGGAGGACATTATGCTGAGTGAAATATCTCAGTCACAAAAGGACAAATATTGCATAGGGCCACTGTTGTAAAACGGGACTGACAATATGACAATAAGGTTGAGAGAAGACTGAGAAAGATGGGATAAATAATGTATACTGCATTGAAACAGATGAGAGAGAACTGTTTAAAAGGGATATATGATTAGTTATTATTATCATGACAGGAGTCCAGAATGAAGGCTGCACGGTGGAGTGGACTTGGAGGCAGGGATTGTATAACAATGAAAGAATTTTTTTTTTTTACTTTTCAAAGACAAGAGCAAATTGCAGGGAGAGGTGGGCAGGGAGAAAAGTACATCCTAAGTCTCTATAAGCTTTCATTAAAATTAATTTAAAAAAAAAAGAATTTGTTTTGTTTTTTTATTATTATTTTCTTTTTTATTGATATTTTAGCAAAAGTTTACAGAAAACTTGGATTTCCATTCATTCGCTGTTGCACATTTTCTTTCCTATCCACCCCCCAAGTTCACTTTTCTCTTTAAAAGGATTCTTTCAATATTGCACAATTTCCTCCCTCCCCCCCAGCTTTAAGATTTATAGCCTCAAAAACCCCGTGGATTGTCATTTATAAATTGGTTGTCATTTATAACAGATTTGGAGTTTTGATGATTACTTTGGCCTCATCCCATCACAAGATCCTTAGCGTCACTGCTGATGGGAATATCAGATTGTGCAGTTACGTGGGAACTGGTTTAAGGACGTCTCAAAAGGTTGGACTTAGAATTACTGCAGGGCCCAGCAATCCCGCGCCCAGAAGAAGTGGAGGTAGACCCTCCACCGGGCGGGTTGACATGGGGACTGCTGCTATGGGCTTTTGACTGTCAGGAAGTGTGAGGAGGGCACCGGATAGAACGGGGTTCAGATCTTTTGTTCAAAGGGTTGCTATGTACTTGACTTGACCGCACCTACCAACAGCAACAGAAGTGGCTTCAAGGCAGAAACAGCTCCACCGGGGGCAGTCAGTAGGAGAC